GCTGACTGGGATGTTAGTGGCCGTAGGATGAGGTTTATGCGTGTGCTACTCGCTTATCTCTGTGATGTCCTGGCGGGCCAATTTATACGAGAGATACAGGGTATACAGGATGGAGACGTTCCCTTGGGGCGAATTGCGTACGTTGAGTTGAGTGCGCAGTATGTGTTCGTGTGTGGTATGAGGCAGTTTCGCGTGTTCAGTCGCGCGAATGGGGCGCGGGTCTTGTGGATCTCCAATGATCAGTCAACCTTCGCGCGTGACAAAGACAAGGACGCAGAGACAAGCACAGGTCCAAGCAGGAAAGCTGCATGCCGCACGCCCTGCGCGTGGGTTCGCATTCGGGGAAGAACTGGCTGAGGCCTTCTTCTGTCCGAATCCAGTTGTGCCGGCCGCATCTCTGGCTCCCATCTGCAACACGCACGGGCCGCTGTTGGGTGTAGAGGGAGTGGGCTCCTGGTTCCATTTTCTGTCTCCCGTGCTGGGAGCCCTTTGCGGTGCTGCCACATCCGAAAGCATGCGTTCAGCGAGCTCGGCTGCCTCGGGCGGTATGCCCACTCACTGGGTAGGCACTTCCTTTCCGGTGGCGTTCTCCCTCCTGATGCGAGGCTTGCACGCGTGCTCGAACGTCGGAGCACTTCTAGTGCGAGCTCGGCGTTCGTCCATTTCTTCAGGTCTTCTCTGCACCACCTTCCGTTCGCTCGACCTTCCCGTCCCTGCCCACGCGAGGGCGTCTCCCGCTCGGGCGATGTAAGTGAGAGCAGGGCTTTCTTACCACCAGCTGTGCCCGAGTGTCGTCCTATCGGCATGCGGGTACAACCTACGTCAGACGACGACAATATTTGACAGCTGACTTGAAGACGAGAGGCGTTAACATGAAAGAACAGTGATTCGAGAACTTACAGCATCACCTGGAACTGCCGTTCACTGCAGCAATGTACCACGTCAGGCGTACATTCGCATCGGCTTGCAACCACTGCCTTTCAGCAATAACGCACCTACTGCCTCCTCGTAGACTCACGGTCCCGCACAAGATTCGCAATTCGGCCAAAAATACATAGAAGATCTGTTCGGGAGGGAGGTCTCCAATGGGCAATACTCCTCGGCGCCACCCTCGAAAATATCCGAACGATGCGCGCCATGTGTCGTGAATCTCGTCCCTGCCATGGTCTTCGTCTTGCTCTCCAAAGGGCTTGCCATCGAGGTGGTCTCAGATAGCAGCCCGATAGATCTATCTTGATGACAAGACTGAGGCTCCTGAGCGCACGCTGCGTGCCACACATGTGGTGTCGCACGGAAAGGAACCCCCACTAGCGAGAGAACGGAAGCCTAGAGTCCACCAGATGCGTCCTGCATTCGCGCTCGCAGAGGAACACCAGTATGTGCAGTGTGAGGACGACGAACGAACCGCGTCCTTGCGAGTCGAACAGCCACGTGTCTCCTGGTCGTGAACTTGGAGAAGCGCCCAATGTGTTTTCTGCAGTCGCACTGCCATTAGGGCTGCTCGTAAAGTGATGCAGCGTTCGAAACCTTCGCTAGATTAGGATGTCTCAGTCAACGAGCGAGCGACGGACAGGGGCAACTCTGCAGCCCTATTCGGGGCGTCGGTGTCGGTGGCGCCGACATTCGAGCTGGGGGAAGGCGCAAGTTCTGGCATTGGGGGCAACGAGCTGAGGCAAGGTCTGTGCGCCATGGGATCTATGAGGATCGACCCGAGCCCCTACCAGAGCGCCTCGGGGTTGCGAGGATTAATATTCAACTTTGAAGCTACTTGGAGATGGCGGCGTCAGCCCAAGTCTTGCATTTCTCTCGACCTGGTGCAACTGCACTGGGAGCACAAACCTGGCTGGGGTGGGGGACGAGATCTCCTTGTGAGAAGCGACATGAATTAAAATCAGAGAGTGTGTCATTCATGGGGGAAACCAAATGAGATAAACATACATACACAGCCCATCGACTGACGGTCATTGTCGGTGCACGACCGGGGTCGTCTCAGAGCTCCAACCGGGCACGAAACCACCACTGCTCCCGAGGTCATTCAAATTGGATGGCACAGCATGGAATGTGGTCTCGCCCCGCCCGCACAACGATGCGGATGCGTGCGCCACCGTGCCCATCTCGCAGCGCATATCGCCTGAAGGACCAGATCGACCAAAGCCCCGCCGAGCAGACGGCGGAAAGGCGTCCGAGCGATGCCCATCTCGCACCTCCCAGTGCACTCAGCCCCGCGCGTCCCACGCGCGGGGATGTGGGGCTGCGGCTGCAGGGATGTCCGTCCGTGCCTAGCCAACCGTCATCGCTTCCTCCGCCTCTGCCAGCACATACATCATGATCATGGTCATCTTTAGTACAAGATCCTCGAGTCAGCTCCGTGAGACTGTCTTCAAGTCGACCAAGATTCTGCTTTGTCAGTGCCTGGTCCACGAGTTACTGAGGAGGACTGCAACCCCTCTCCCTTCGCGATCTGTCACTGGCGGGCTGGTGTGATTCAAGCTAAAGAGACTCGCTTTCGTATATCTCTCCCCTCTGAGGTCATAGTCTTTGGCCTGCTCACTGCCTGTCCGTCTGGACGCGTCGCGTCGCGTGGGAAAGCATGCCCCCTGTAGCTTCAAGGATGGTAGTGGGAATGTCACGGACACTGGCGAGGGACCTCCGAGTCGGACATCCTCCCAGGCCCACCATCCCGTCGGCATCCAGATATCGGCCAACGCTCCGAGTCCTATGTATTAGACATGCGATCGTGAGCAACTCGAACAGAACGACGTGATTGAACGCCCCCTCCGCGTCCATGATAACAAAGCTCACCTGGGGAAACGTTATCTCACGCGTCGTTTATCATGGCCGTCCGAGACATTTGGCCCCATCGAACCGGCTAAGCCCCAGGCCTCCCTCGCAAATCGCACTGATATCCTCCACTTCTGCTGTGCATCCAATGCAGCTACCGAGGATCGTCTTGTGTGGTATGTAGCCATGTCCGCGGTGCGCTCTCCCTTTGTTCATCTGTCCTGTCACCCAGATCAAGTTCTGTGGGCCAAGGACGAGGTCCCGAGCCTATTCAACGGCATCGCAGACGTGTTCGTGCGTATCCCCTCCCATCTTCCAGTACCTCCACACGCTGATTCTCGTTCGTCTAGCACCTCGATCCGTCAGTAAATCGAACAGATTTTCTCGCAAGTTTCCAGCCCGGAGGTCCGTTCGAGGGCGCCGTTGGGCTCTTCCGAAAGAATCATTCGACGGCGCGGATCGGGTTGTTTGACAAGGAGCTCATCAATGCTCTTCCGTCCAGCATCGCGTGGATCGCGCACGTAGGGGCAGGCTACGATCAAGTCGACGCGGGGGCGTGCAAGGCGCGGGGCATCCGTCTTTCCAACACGCCCCATGCGGTGGACGACGCAACGGCCACCACGTCGCTCTATCTGCTCATCTCCACGATGCGGTGCTTCTCCAAGGCCGAACGCAGCGTCCGCGCGGGCCTGTGGAAGTCACAGCATTCGGCCGCACATGCACACGACCTGAGTGGGAAGGCAGTCGCGATTCTCGGGCTGGGTGGGATCGGGCTGCGCTTTGCCGAGCTCGTGCGGGCGTTCCCCATGCGCGTCCTCTATCACAGCCGGCGCAAGGTGGCGCATGCGCCGGAGTGGTGCGAGTATTACGACGCTGGCCGTCTTGACGAGATGCTGGCTCAGGCAGACGCGCTCAGCATTCACGTACCGCTCAACGAACACACAGCTGGGATGGTAGACGAGAAGATGATACGGAAGTTGAAGAAGGGCGCGGTCATCGTCAACACTGCAAGGGGCAAGGTGACGGACGAGGAGGCAATGATGCGGGCATTGCAGGACGGTCACGTAGGTGCAGTCCTGCCCTCGGCTCATGCGTCGGCTCACTTTCGACTCGATAGCTATCGGGTGTTGGGTTAGACGTGTACCCAGATGAACCTAACGTCGACCCCCGTTGGCTGGATTTTCCCAATGTAACACTCCTCCCGCACATTGGCACCGGTACGCTGGAGTCGGCCAAAGCGTTGGAAGTGCGGGCATTGGAGAACCTTCGGGATTTCCTCGTGGCTGGCGCGGGCAAGGATCTAGTGCCTGAATTCATGCAGTAAAGATATGTACAACGTCTGTAGAACGTGATCGTGCGCGACGTCGGTTGTGGCCAGCGGAGGCTTCAATTGTCCGTTGTAACGGGGAATTCTAACGTGCTACACCTTTTGTTGGATCTCACGCTCGTGTCCAACCTGCATCGCCATTTCGACTCGCTTCATCAAAGTCTCTCCGTCTCGGTCTCTTTCATTTTTGCCT